CTCCCTGCAATCTTAATTCCGGCTTGTGATTCTTCCAGCCTGGCATTTCTCATGATGTACAACAGATAATGCTATAGGCTTAATAATAATTTTGCTTACAAAATGTTTAAAAAAAAAAATCTCATCATGGTTATGTAAAGACAGCATCAGTTTAATAATTGTATGCTTTTGCTACTTTATCCTCTCAACTGGATAAATAACTAATCATTGTCCACATATCAATTTCCAGGATTGCAAATGAGTGTTTAATAAGATCTCTCTCTCTCTCTTTATATATATAGGTTTGAAAGCCATATATTTGAATTCGAAAGAAAGGGGAATGTTGTTCAACAGTAAATATATAACAAATAGGTAGGTATAGTTAATTGTTATTGAAAAATAGACCAATATCTTGAAATTATTTCAGAAAAGTATTCAGAAGATGTCATGGAAGATACATACATTAAGACTTTTTTCTTGACTTTTCATTTTTAGTTTGGAACTATATTCTTGTATCGTTGTACATAATCAACATATTGGGCCTGATTTCCCCTGGACTAATTTTTCTTTAGTGGTAGAGTACAACTACACTGAAAATTCCTGTTGGATTGATCTATGCAAAAAATTGAATATATCTTACTTAATTCTCCAAACAGCTCCCCCAGAAGCAATTGAAACTGGTATGTGAATGTTTCAAATACAGAATTGAAGAGGAAATAAGATAGAAGAATAGAGCTTGCTTTGTAAAAGAATCTAATATTTGTATATAATAATTTTCTAGAGAGAAAAAAACCTTAATTTGTAAAACTGTGTCCATGTAACCAGAGTTTTTAATTAAGTAGCCCTAACAAAATCAGAGGTGGACTACTTGTGTGTTATTTTGTAGTACTTCATATTATACCTATTATCCTATTCAACTGAGAGTTTGTAGTTTGCCCAGAGTGACCCAGCTGAATTCACAGTAGAAGTGAGGCTCACTGAATTTCATTAGATTTTTTTCTTACATAAATATGTAAAGATTTTGAGCTTTAGCCAGTACGTTATACTACGTTGGATTGTATTTCACTTCTTTTAAGGCACTTCGAGGTATGAAAGTTCTAATGTGTACATCAGGCTTTGCCAGAGAGAATCAGATCTGCACATATCTTCTTCCTATCTGCTGATTTGTTCCTCAGTTGAAATGAATAGGACATTGCAGCACCTACCAGTCCTCTGTATTAACATTAAATCATTTTTTTTCCTTACTGAAAAGTTGCTCAAGATCTAAATGATAGGGGATTTGTTTTAGGCAGAGATTAATTCTGTGCATTAAAAGCATTGCAGGATAGCATTGATTTTGGACACTGGAAAGTGTAGTTTATACCGTAGGAATGAAATAGCTGTATTGATTTTGTGCTGACCCACACAGCTACCAGGAATGAGCCCAAAAAACAAAACAGTATAGCAACTAGGGATAGTATTTCCCATAGGGAATCTCTGCACACCCAAGAACATGATGAAACTTTTATCTGGAATTATACATACTGTAATTTTAGCAAAGAATTCCTATGGATTCTCTGGAAACAGCAATTTCTAAGATACTTTTCAATTATAAAAACAGATAATTGATCCAACAGATTGTATAGTAAAGATATTTGGAGCTGTATTTTTTTAAAAAACTATTTAAATCCTATTTAGTCCTTTAAGTCTATATAGCTCCTAAGTCATTTTAGTGTGTTGTGGCCTTCCAGCATTAATAATAAATAAATGTTAGTAGCATTTGTAGTACAGCTTTTTATGAAATGTTGATGTTATTTGTTTTTAGAAGAGTTTTTGCCAGATAATTTTGGATATGTCCTTCTGAGGTTGCCAATTCCTTATGTTTTTTTGACATCTGAAGGACTTCTCAATACCCCAGAAATCCTTCAGTTACTGGAATCCAAGTAAGTAGTGAAACTCCAGGGCTGAAGAAGCTTGTATTTTCAGATCCCTCTCATTGCCTGCTGTTCCTTCCAAGCCTCAGTAATCTAACAGTTATCCTGCCTTATACTTAGGTAAATTTATTTTCAGAATATTTTTAATTATGCATTAAGGCCCACCAAGTCTCATCCTATTTGTTGCTAAGAAGTGACCAAAGACACAGAGTGATATGCACGCACTGGACCTCGGTCTGTGCTTCAGCATCAGGCAATGAACTGGAGTAGGTATGAGCTGCAGAAGGCATGAGAGAAGTGTCCTTGGCATACAGCAAGTCACCCATCTGGGTGACATAGGCAGGAAAGGGTTATCGGAATTTGGACTGTGGGTACAGCAGAACTGCAATACGTTCACTGGATTACTAACAGGAACTTTCACATGCAGGTATAATATTACATTAATTGAAAGAAACTGCTGTGAGGCCTTACAGTATTTTGGAGGCACAGAACATTATGTTGTGATGACTATAGATGAATGCACAGCTATTGTTATGCAGGTAAAAAAATTATTATAAAAAATTCTATTATCACGTACCCCTATAGTATAGTTGCCTCATATCCATATCATATGCACATAGACATCTTATTTATTTATTTATTTATTTATTTAATTAATTTCTTTATTAAATTCTTCGGCGCTCGGCC